AACCACCCTCATGTTGACATCAAAAGAGCTAGGCTTGGGCCTTGCTTCTGGCAGACCTAGGGGCTTCTCTCATAGTTGTAAAAGGAGACTGCTCGTTCGTTTCCCAGCTGCCCAGACCCAAATAATCACACAGAAGCTATATTAACTATAACACTGGCCAATGGCTCATGCATATTTCTAGCTAGTTCTCACAAATTAACCCATTTCTGTTAATCTGTGTATTACCACGAGGCTGGTAAGGTTCTGGAGGTGTCTTTCTCCTTCGGCAGCTACATGGCATCTCCTTGACTCTGTCTTCTCTTTCTCTCTCTGAATTTCCTGTCTGGCTTTACTCTGCTAAGCCATTGGCCGAAACAGCTTTATTCATCACCCAATAAAGCAACACATATATGACCATATATGGGACGGCCCGCACCATCCAGAAGAGCTGGTGAAGGAGCCCACACGGAGTGCCTTGACTCTTCCAAGTTTGCATTTTCCAGAGTGAAGTTTACTGACATTAAAGTTTTACTCTCTTTGAAAAAAAAAAATCATAAAAAATCAGAATTTTGCTTTAACAGTTTCACTCTTAAACTTATTTTAATCAAGTTATATTTTTTATTATTAGCTCTAATCATAACTACAATATTCTTCTTACAGCTTATTCTAGTGTAATATTGAATCTCAGGGAGATCTGAGAACTGGGGGCACTGTGTGCAACTTTAGAAGACTTAGCATTGTTTAAACGTTCTACATCTAATGTTTCTTCAGAGAATCAAGTCAATTTTCATAATTTTGATCCCTTTTCCTAGCAAAACTTATGAATGCTTCTAACACAAAATAGGAGAGAATATGTGTTTCAATTCCCAGAAGAAAATAGGCACCTGGCAAGGAAATACTGCATCAAAGCAATACAGAATTTCAGCAGGGATATCACCAAACCCTGTAGCTCCATATTTAGTGTCTGGAACTTGAGGTTCAAAGGCCTTAAATCATTATACATATCTAATTTTTGGAGATAACATATATCTTTTCTATGGTAAGATCTGCTCTCTGTGTTTGTTTTCTCAATATCTCAACAATCTGACATGTTGAACAGCCTATGTTCTATACTACAATACACCCTCCACTTTCACAGATATAGGTAATGGCTTTTTCTGGCAAAGTGGACTTTGCCATAAACACTGCGAGTACTCAGTGGATTTCTAAAATTCCATAGGGAGACTCGGGGACCCACTTGCTCATAATTGCTTTTGTCATGCCTTCAAAGATAGTACTACATGTAGTACAAGACCAAATCAGGCATCCAGCTTGAGATGTAACTTCACCACCATCAACCATATTCAACATGCTTGCAAGCAATCAAGACCCCAAGCTTCCCCTTTCACATCTGAAATCATAGCGTGGTGGGATCTTTCCCTATGAACACCCTTCTCATAGCTCATCTAAAGATTAGGAGACCCATTTCAATCACATAATCTTAACAATTACAACACCTCTTTTAGCCTATGCTTATGGGTGGAGTATTAATATTCCTTGTATTCCTATGTATTTCCAAACCATACAGTGAGGTGTGATTCCCCTCTATATGATGTATATACCACTAATTAATGAATAAAGCTAATTTGGCCTACAGCAGGGCAGAATTGAGTAAGGCAGGAGTTCTAGGAAGATAGAAGAGGGAAGAAGGCACAGTCAGGGAGATGCCATGTAGCTGCAGGAGGATAAAGATAATTGTGTGCCAATACCAGTAAATCACGAGCCTCAGTAGTATAATATAAAATCATGGAAATGGAATAAGATATGAGAGCTAACTAACAATATGCCTAAGCGATTGGAAAAATGAGTGACCTATACCTATAATATACTTTGTATTTTTTTTCTGCCTAACCTGCACTTTTTCACTATGTATCAGCATAAGAGTTACCAGTAATTAAGATTTTGTGTAGTCAAAGTTATACTGTATTTATTTAAATGTCCTGGACCAAATAAGTTAACCAATCACTCTTTTATTCTGCTCGATATAAATTCTCATAATTTGACAGAAAATATCCATAAACCTTGTCAAATGTCACAGAAATGACCTAACACCATTGATGTTAAGCTTTGTGATTCATTTTGGAATCTCTTTAGTCAGGCTTTATAGTTTACTTTGCTCTTAGCACAACAGTTTTCCAGGTTGCAATTCAAAAGGCCCATTAAGCTATATTTATAGTAGTCAGCTGCTTCTCTAACCCAAAGTTCAAAAGTCTTCAGCATTCCTCCCAAAACAAAGATGGTTAGAATCTTCATGGCACCATCCTACTCTCTAGTATCAACTTATTGACTACTCTTTTATTGGTTTAATAAGATGCTATCTAAAAATAACTTACAGGAGGTAGAATAAATTTGGGTATTTTTATCCAGATGGACCATTCATCATGATTGAGTAACAGGACAGAAATCAATAGGCACAGCATCAGGAGCAGGAAACTAGTTACTAACATTTTTATTTTTTTTATTAAAACAGTCTGTTGTTATTTTACAATCAAGCCCAGTTCCCTCTCCCTACCTTCCTCTCATCCTCCCTACCTTCTCCTCAACCCTCCTCTTCACCTCACAGAGGGAGAGACCTCCCATGGAGACTCAACAAAGTTTATTGCATCACATTAAGGCAGGACCAAGGCTCTACCCCCTGTATCCAGGCTGAGAAAGGCATTTTTTCCATAGGGAATGGTCTCAAAAAAGCCAGTTCATATACTAAGAATAAATATTGGCCCCACCAAGAGTGACCCCACAAATTTCCCAAGTCATTCAACTGTCTCCACATTCATGGGGTTTAATTTGGTCCTATGAAGGTCCCCCAACTGTCAGTCCAGAGTCAATGAGCTCCCACTAGCTCAGGCAAATTTTTTTCTATGGATATCCCCATCGTGGTGTTGACCCCTTTGCTCCCATTATCTCTCCTCCCTCACTTTAACTGGATTCTGGGTGCTTGGCCCACTGCTAAACTGTGGATCTCTGCATCTGTTTCCATCATATACTGAATTAAAGTTCTATAATGACAATTAAGGTAGCAGTCAATCTTTTTTACAGGGGAAGGTCAGTTCAGGCACCTTCTCCACTATTGTTTATACTTTTGCCTTGGATCATTCATGATGGAATTTTTCTAGTGCCTAGTGCCAGGTTTCTCACTAACCCTATAATGGCTCCTTCTATCAAGATATTTCTTTCCTTGTTCTCACTTTCTGTCCTTCCCAAAAATCAGTCATCCCAATCCCTCATGTACTGCTCCGCAGTCCCCATTTCCTTTCTTTGTCCCCTTCATCCCTTCCTCTCCTCTCCATGCTCCCAGTTTATTTAGGAAATCTTCTCTATTTTGCCTTCCTAGGAGTATCCATATGTCTCCCTTAGGATTCTTCTTGTTTCCTAGCCTTTCTAGAGTTGGGGAATATAGAATTTACTCTACTTACATTAAGTGATTACTGTAAGAAATTAGTCTATACTTTGCTTTACTTTAAGTAACTACTTTACTAAAATAATCTTTACATTAAGTCTAATATTCACTTATGAGTAAGTACATACTATGTTTGTCTTTCTGGGTCTTGGTTACATCACTTAGGATAGATTTTTCGAGTTCCATCCATAAGTATTCACATATTCTAAAGTTCCAGAAAACAGAGATAGCCAACTGAAAATGCACAATGGTGTTATTATCAATTCCTCCCTCAGTTTAGCACTTTCTCTATGCAGGCTACTCCATCCAATCCTCCCCAAACAACACAAACAAGTGAGCAGCAAGTGTTCAAATACCTGAGGCAATGGGGAACACTTCTCATTCAAATCAAAACATTTTCATGTTGCAGTCTTTTTCCTGCAAAGGAGAATTTTCTATGTTTGTAGAGTTTTCCATGTAACTTAATGAAATAAATTATTTAAGCTCAGAGAGTTTTGGAAATTAAGGTTTATAGGTTAACTACAAGGGAAGTTGTGTGGTTTGAAATGTACAGTTCTATTATTGCTGTTGTCTTTAAACACTCAAAAAATGATTTCCTTTAGACAGAAGGCAAATGTTAAATCTCTACCTTACCTTTTCTTTAACTAACTGCAAAATATTAATGTTCCGAAATTTTTTCATTAAAATTAATGGTGTATTGTTTTAGTTACAACAAATGTTTTTATTCTGAAAGTGTAGCCCTGGGCTATGTATTATTTAAAAAACACAGTTGATTTCATTTGTGAATTATA